TGTTGATAGCACCAGGGGTAGGATAGGGGCTGCCTCTACTAGATATGTTGTTTCGGATTCGGGAGAGAAAATCCTCGAACCCTTGACTTTGTATGATTATCTTTTTGTTCCTCCGGGACCTGATGAACATAATGATAATGATGTTGGCTACGTTTTTACTGTCTTTAGAGTTATTATCTGACTTTAAATTAGAGAATACTCCTAATCACATGATGAACAAACCCTAGAATTTTCAAGCCATAATGATAGGTATTTAATTATGTATGATTAAATTAAATTATCATGTGTTTAATTTATTTAAACTTAAATATAAAATAATTATTTTTGATTTTAGGTTCATTAGATTCTCCTCTGTTCAGTGAGCACTTGGGTATTTTTCTTTTATTTTTGTGATCTCTCTATATTGAGATATTATTTTTTGAAGTTATATTTAATTTTTTTTATTTAATTAAATCTAAAATAATATGTTTATCCACTTAACCACGTAATCCCCTACTAAACCTCAATGATTTTGAAAGACCACACAACGAGTTCTCATTGGTTGCCCTTTCCATGTAGCCGCCTTGTCAGCCCGGGATCTCATGTGTTGAGTTGAACCAGTTTGTCGTATGTCAATGAGTGGTATAGAGAGATCACCATAATCATTTTAAATGATTCATCATCCTAGATGATTCATAGCTTGTGAACCGTCCACACTCTAAAGCTAAGATCTCTCTCGATACTTAACCAAATTTGATGGGGTTTGTTCAAACACCTTCATCTAAGTGTGGCAAATACATCTATATGGCTAGGTGGACATGGATTGTTCATTTCTTTCACAAAAGACAAAACCGGGGCAAGATTAGGGATTTTTGGGCTATACCGTTGTCCAATATGTGAGACATCGATTGGATTGGTGGAGAAGCTTCACCTTGATGGCACAAACCTCCTCTAAGTGTTGATTTTCTCTGTAGATGGGTCTAGGTATGACCTAGACCGAATGGTGAATCGGGCTTAGCCTAGCACTAGGTTAGAGGCCACATGAGAGGGGAATTTTGATCGGGAAAGTGATTTTAAGGTGTGGGAAAGCTTTTGGAATAATCAATTTGGAGTTTTGGTGAAGTTGGTGAAAGGGCCAAAAATGTCCTAGTTTTTTGCCTTAAAATTAGGGTTTTATTGTGGGGGACAGTGGCTGAGAATGGTAGAGATGAGCTTCGTATAGGTTTAGGAAGGTTTGAAGCAATTTTGACAAGGCTTAGCCAAGGTTTGTACACTTGTCCCTTTTGGCCATGGAAGAGTGGTGGTTTTATAGGCTAAGCTAGGGGCTTCAGTTGGCCAAGCCAGTGGGTTCAAGGTGGCACTTATGTGGAGGGAAGATAGGGGCAAAAGTCCAACAGGAGTGAGCCACATTGAATGGGTTGAATTTTGGGTTTTGACCATGGTAGTGGCTCTCGAATTTGGGTTTTCCGGCAGTCATGGCGGTCGACCAAGGTATAGAAGGTCACTTTCTGGTTGTGGGAAGTTGGCGATGGAGATTAGTGAAGCTAATCGGGTTAGAGCATGGGTAAGGGTGCTTAATTGGAATAGAAAGGGGCTTGGGCTAGTTTGAGTTTGACCATGGGTTAAGCTCATGGGAATAATCTTGGGTGGCTTCCAAGGTGGTTGACATGGTGGCTAGCATGGGGGGGGGTTGAATGGTCAAGTCGCTTCATAGAGATTAGGGCATAATCATGGGTTTAAGGGAATCATGAGAATGGTTAGGCACTTTTTAGGGAACCTTGAAAGAGGCTCCTCCTTTTCTTATTTATATCATGGTGGCTCACGTGAGACTTATACATTGATTCATAGCTTCCATGTGGCTTGGATGAAGCCACATGGCTTGGCCTTCATGCACATCCTACATGGCTTGCACTAAAGATGAGAGGTGAGAAATTCAAGTATGGAGGAAAATTTCATTAATTCCAATGGGGTTGATTAACCATGGGTTTTTGGACTTTAGGTTTGATTAAATTTGTCATGGGGGGCTGAATTTTGTCATTTGTGCTTAGGTTATGGGATATTTGGACATTGGGCTTGGCGTAGTGGTCTTTTACAAATTGGACTTGGTGTAGTGGGCTTTTTTTCTTAGAAATTGTGCTTGGATTTGGTTTTGGTGTGGTTGAGAATTGATCATGATGAACTTCATGAGGCCTTCAATCCATCATGATGAAATTAAGATTTAAACTTGGTGAAGTTAGATTTGGCATGAGGACTCAATTTTGGTGAATTTTCGACTTAGGGTGGAATTTGATGTGGGGTTGATGGGTTTAGGTGGTGATGTTCATTGTAGTGGAGTAAGGATGTGTATGGGATGAATATGTATGGTAGTGGTGAATGTAAATTGTAGTGGTGTAAGAATGTAGTTGTGTGTAATGACTGTGTATGTAGGGTGAAGTGAGTGATGTGTAGGGTGAGTTATGGGGGTGATATGGATTGTAGTATTGTATAGATTGTGTATTTGGTGTTTGTGAATGTGTATGTAAGTATGTATGTAGTATGAGGTGGGTGTCCAAGTTATAAAGAGCTCCCCTAAAGTTTTGTAATCCTACAGGAACTTACCTTTGAGCTTTCATGTGTTGGTTATAGTCATCCCAACTAAGAGCTGAGGGCTTGAGACCACCCATATGAGTCTTTACAAAAAAAAAAGTCATGATCTGTCTTGAGTTTCAAAGGGAAAAAAGTCAAGATCTGTCTTGAGTTTCAAAGGGAGGTGAGTCCCATCACTAGTCTTCTAGAATAATCAATAGAAAAATCGTCATGATCTGTCTTGAGTTTCAAAGGGAGGTGAGTCTCATCACTAGTCTTCTAGAATAATCAATAGAAAAATCTTATGGCTAGATCCTAAACCCTAGGAAAAAAAGTTAGACCTAAAAAAAAATGAGATCAACATGACAACTTCATGAAATCCGGCAGAGAGCTCAGTAATGAAAAGAATGAAGGAAAGAGCCATCTACCATTGTCTTGGATTTGTGAGGGAGAGAGGGAGTGATTCAAAGCAATGTGGTTAAAGAAAATTATTAGAGAAGGAGATGTTGGAGATGGAAGCATTAACAAAAATATAAATTTTATAATAATAATTTTTAGTGTATAAGATATGTAAATAATAATGTTTTGAGATGTAATAATTCGCAAAAGAATAGAGTGATATGCACGCCAATCTTCCAATTTGTTTTTTCCTAGTGTGATTTTTAGCATAAAATTGGTGGAAACAGGTGTGGAAACATCCGCGGGATAGTGGAGACATTGAAGTCCACATCGCTTTCTCTGGACGTATGCTTTCTGATCGGACCTAAAGCGGCTTGCAGGGCTGAGCACATAGAGAGATGCAGACAGCTGCGTTTTCTTGCAGGGGGAGTGTTGCGGGCGCCGGGATATCAAGCAAAGGAAGGGGTTCTACGGGGGTTTATGCCATTCGTGAGAGAGGATTGGGGCATAAGACGGCTTTGTTGATGCCCGTAAGGAGGTTTTGCTTCGGGGAGGCGCGGATTGGATCGATCGAGATGAGATTAACTCGGATGAGGACGGGGATGGAGAAAGTCTTTAGACCGACAGGGAAAGCTGGATCAATCCGTGCTCACGCAGCTGGTCTGCTCTTCTCCCTCTCTCTCTTTTTCCTGTTGGTTTACTTACGCTCTCTTGTTGTAGGTGATTGCACCCGTTGTAGCCTTTAGCTTGAAATGAATTTTGAAAATATGATGTCTTTTGTAATGCTGTGCTTTGAATACGATTCTGATTCATTGACCACCATCTTCTTGTTTAATTGATAGTGGCCATTAAATTGTTAAGGAAGTTCTCCTTGAGATTCTTTGTATTTGCTGAATTTTGTTGGCAATTAACTTAAGAAATATACATCGAGGCAATACATAAATGAGATGTTTTTTTATGCATGGGGCTTTGTGGTTATAGGTGAGCCTCTTTTTTCCATTAATTTTGATGCAAGAAAATTGTGGTGAGTGTTGTGGGTTGCATCCGTATAGGATTTCCTGCACAATTGTGATCGAAGGAGGCTTTCAATATGATTGGTTCAACTTAAATGTGCCTCTTTGCTTCATTTAATGATGAGGGGATTTACATACATAACCAAATGCATCCTATTTACATATTCCACACCTAAAATTTCCCATTTATTCACATTCCTCTCATTCTTTAAATATCATAACAAGTTATGCATGGTGGGTCCTGGTGGCTACAAGACTGAGTGGCCAGGTCACTTGCGTGACGGGTTATGGCAATAGGCCTCATCCGCAATGGCTGACAGGCAGAGCAGTCGGGTTGCATGCACGATAGGGCACATGTGCAATAGCCAGAAGGTGTGGGTACATGCGTAGGAGTACTTGTGGTGGCAGGTCGTATTTAACCCTTTGGGACAACAAGTTAACAAAGTGTGGTAGTCAAGCGAATAGAAAGTTGTAGGTGTTAAATATATAAATTTGATAGAATTAAGTGTTGTGATTGTAAATATTGTGTAATTTTGTTATCATTTTTCATCATATAATCAATGATTACTAAAATCTTTGTATCAATAGTGTCTTTTTTACCTTCAAATATGAAAAGCACTACGCGATTATGATTATGTGGATCTTATTAGCAAGACTGTTGTCCCTGAAGCTTTTCTCATATATGTTGGAAACAGTTAAACAATTGATAATGAATTCACTAATGAGTTAAACATTTTTTATGGTGATTGACACATAAATGGCTGCAAAAAGATTTTTAAACTATGATGCTTTAACACATTAGTAGATAAGGTTTTACTTTTTGTATGATGAACAAGGTTAACATAATTATTTTGCTTTGATGAAAAAACTTAAATATATGTATGTGAATGCATCAAAAAAGACAAGTGAGGAAAGGGCGAGATGAGAGCTAGAGCTACTGCTAGTAAAAAAATTGATGAGATACTTCTATTAAAAATAACTATGAAGCACAATGGGAAGGTGAACACATGGAGTGAACGTTTGAGTTGCCATTTTGTATAGTTCTATTCGAGGATGCAAATACGTCAGAGTTGATTTCCATCATTTGACAACGGCATTATAAACTACTTAAAATACTTTGTGGACTAAATTTTCTCTGTTTACTTTTAACTTTCTCCTTCATTAATTACGGTTACCTTTGTCCTTCACAATTAGTAGCTAGTTGTTGACAACTTTCTAAATTTATGCATTTTATACCTTTCTTTGGATCAATATCTATTATTTATTGGAGGAAGCATGAAAATTGAAGGTTTTTACATTTGATTATACTTTTTGATTTACCCCTTATATGGCTTTCATTTTCTTTATACACTACTTGGAGAAATTTTCTGAAATAAGTCAGTAACTAATGATATTTCAGGTGATCCTAAGGATATCCCTTCGAGTAAACTTCAAGAGAAATCTTCTGGGACCGTTTTGCCATATGTTGGCATTGCTTGTTTGGGTGCCATTTTGTTTGGATATCACCTTGGGTATATTCCTAAAACTATTACTGCTACATCACATTTCGTACTATTGTTTTCATTGAATTATTTTTTTACCCTATTAGTTTGTATTATTCTCAGAGTTGTGAATGGCGCTCTAGAATATCTTTCTCGGGATCTTCTTATTACTGAAAATGTTGTCCTACAAGGTATCAATTTTTATGATGCTTTTCATTATACAAATTTTAAGAATTTTAAAATTTTATATGATAAACTTGGAAAAAATAAGCAATTATTTATTTCTTGTTTTTAGAGGAAAACTTTTGAAATTGATCTTCCTATATTTTATGCATCTAAAATTTTTTATTGGTGGTACACTATTGAATCTAGCCCATCTTATCGTCCCATGTGGTATAGGATATTTTTGATGAACATTGAAGGTTTAATTCATATAATAATCACATTCATTGGTTCAGGATGGGTGGTTAGCACGTTACTTGCCGGTGCTACAGTTGGTTCTTTCACTGGTGGAGCATTGGCTGATAAATTTGGTCGAACTCAAACTTTTAAGCTTGATGCAATTCCATTGGTAGTTGGTGCCTTTCTCAGGTTTATTCTAACATTTCGTGATTGTAATTTTGCTAAGCTCTAGCTCAATTTCGCAGTAGTGCCTAATTTTTTGTGAATACTATTATAGTACAACTGCTCAAAGCGTGCATGCAATGTTAATTGGTCGGTTATTTGTTGGAATTGGGATTGGAATCACATCTGCAGTTGTTCCACTTTACATATCAGAGGTATCAAAAACAAGAGATTATCAAGCTTTTCAAGTATTTCCTTTTAATTAAACAGAATGTCTTTATCCACTTTACATATCAGAGGTATCAAAAACAAGAGATTATCAAGCTTTTCAAGTGTTTCTTTTTAATTAAATAGAATGTCTTTATTTTTTAATATTTCTGTTTTTTTAGATATCGCCAACTGAAATCCGTGGAGCACTTGGATCTATTAACCAACTTTTCATTTGTATTGGAATTCTTGCTGCTCTAGTGGTCGGGCTTCCATTGTCAGGAAACCCTCTATGGTGTGAATCTCTAAACATGTATTCTTTTTAAGTTATATTATTTCTTGCATCGATCATTACAAAATATATTTTCGAAATGCAATGTTTTAATACTTAGTTCACCTCCTATTAGGATTGCATACCAAGTTTTTCATTCTAAGAGATCAAGGCACAATTTGTATTTATTTTTTTAAAAAATTCCTAAGCTACCGCTAATCACCTATGAATAGGAAAGGGGTCTTTAATTATTCTAACATCTATAATTAGAAATATTTTGTTTGAAATGCAATGTTTTTAAACTTAGTGGTCACCTGTTGTTAGCGATTTCATACAAAGCCTTTCATTCTGAGAGATCTAGGCACAAAGATCCTTTATATTTTTTAAGGGGTATTCCTAAGATATCACTACTCAACTTTTAATTGAAAAGTACTTTAATTCCTCTAGCTTCTTGCCATTTTCATAATCATTTAATATTGTGTAAACATATTTTTTTTATTTTTTAATTTGTGAATGCGTTTTTAAATGTAATTTACTGGGTCTTAAGCATGATTCTATCACCTAACAAATATATGTGTGTTGGGGTTTTGCTTGTCTTATTTTATCATTTAGTTTATTCTTCGCAATATGCTTTGGTTTCCTACACTTCATAAGCAAAATACTTTTTGTTTGGATTTGTTGGCATGAGTAGGGTCAAAAGGATTGTTTTTTATATTTACCTATAATAGGGCGAGTTATCTTGTTTTGTTAACATCAAAATGATTGATCTTAGGTTGGGAGGGAGAGATTATTAGGTTCAACTATACTGAAAATAGGACAAGGGTATGAGCGCTAAATAGGTTGAGTGGAAATTTTTTTGAGCTAGATTTCTTTTTATTCTTTGTTAATCTTGTTGAATTATTTAAGAAGTAGAAATCCAAAAAAATGGGATTCTCCAAAAATGTGATCCATGATATTCTAAAAATTTTTATAGCATGGTTTGTGTAGAGGTAGGCTCTTTCGCATGGTTCTTTGGGAGTTCATATCGTATGAAGTTACACTTGCTTAATACACGAATTGGTGAATCTACATTTTTATGCAGGTAGGTTGGCAGCTTTTAATCAAGATGACAGGATGTGTAACTAAATTGCATGTTTTCCAAAGAAAAAGATTACACAAGAAAAAGGAGTTCACGGGTATCAGTGTTGGAAGGATTTACTTTCCTCATTTTCGATAAACTCAGCCACGTTGGCTTTTTTCTTTTATTCTGCTTTGGTTGATTTCTTGACTTATATAGGCCCCACTGACCAATTAATTTCAACTACTATAGTTGAAGAGTGTGCAGCTTTTTTGTTTAATCAGTAGATTAATTTATTGAACTCCTCGTACTCGACTTGGTGTCATGTTCTAATGACTTAAACATCATCATTATTTTGTGGGTTAGTGGCATTTGGCATTCACCTTTTTTATGGTTTGCCGCCACTCCCAATTCTTTAAGAAATCGGAATTAGTTACAACGTTTGCATCACCCTTTTCTTTGCTAAACCAAGAAGTTGTCAAAGAGTTAGATAACGTCAAATTGAAGCCTACTCAATCGAATCATTGAATATTTATTATCAATCAAGTGACAAAACATTAGATCATACTAATAGTAGTTTGGATTGATTTGTGTATATTTTTGTTTGTTTCTTTTCTTTAAGGAGTTGAAGTCTCCTTTACATCATGCTTTTGAATATCTTTCACCAGTTGTTTCTCAAGGAGCACCTCTACTAAGTCTCTTGTATTGAATCCATGGGCTTCCTTCCCTTGTCATTGGGGTGACGATTAAATGGATCTCAATTTTCCTTAAATAACCTGTTGTTTGGCTTGTGCTTTTTAAACCTTTCTAAAGAGCCTTTGTTTTGGGTTTGGGATGTGGAGGCACCACCTCCTTGAGCTTACCTTGCTTGGTGGCCATTGATATTTTTTTATGGGAATATTAGCTATGTCTTCTACTTCATTGTTAAATTGTACAAATGGAGGATGCTATCAAAGAACAATTCATTTTTCTTCTATCTCTACATTCCAAGCTATCCAATGGTCATTTTTTGCTAAGCACCAAAGAACATTTGATCACTAGTATTGGAAAACTAAACATATTATTTGATGGCAATGTCAGTTAGGCTGTTGAAAAATTGGCACATCAAAAATGCATCATACCCAATATTACAATAGGTAGCTCAAATTGGCGAGGTGTTGCACTAATCAATGATTTTGAATTGAAAGGTGATAAAACCTTTGGGGTATTAGACTAGTTTGTACTTTGTCTGGTGTCATTGACCAATCAGACAGCATTTTTTGCTTTTTTGACAACTTTGACAGTCTGGTCAACTTAGCTTTTAAGCTGGTCTATCGAGACCAACTTGCTAGAAATCATTCTTATTGGAAAGCAGCTTGTTGGTGCTCATGTTATCTTCGTTCTCTGAAGGGTCCTTTCTATCATAGGTGATGTGGCAAATTTTTGAACATTTTATGATTGGGATGAGTATACTGAGACAATACTCGGTCAACAATATGAAACATTTAGCATCAACTCAGGAAAAAATTCTCAGGACAAGCCAACTTTGAGAGGAACTAATGCTTATGAGCATTGCTATAGGATCCTATTTACTGGCAGAAAAGATAAGGGCATGCCCTTTGGCCAAAGCTATCGAGAGTTATCAAACTTGGTTTGCCAAGGAAGATGGGCCCCATAGCTCTTAACATGCTATTAGGCATCATGCTTGTTAAGGGCTTAAGTAAACTCAAGGCAAAATTTGAGGTTTGTGTCTGGTTATGTTAGCTTACGTTTGTGGGTTTGTCTGAGTTTGTGAGTTCAAGTAAAGAGATTGTGTGTACCTTTTAAAAGAATTGGCTAAATTAATCTTTAACTGGAGATAGGTCTGATTTTTGGAATGGGTTAGAGTTTATACCAATTGAACCTCGTTTTGTTCTGGTTTGGTCAAATAAACCTATTAGACTAATTAAGATTTTTTTTCCTGTTTCAAATTCAAAATGGATTTCTCTGCATATTAAAATAGGTGAGCTCCTATCTAGTTAATTACCTAACCTAGCAGTGCAATTGATTATCAAACAGTTTCCTTAAACAACTAGAGGCTTGGATTAATGAGCTAGCTATACCTAATCGGGCAGTCTTCCTCAAGTTGAGTGAAAGGTGATAAGACAACTAATTAACACATCTAAGCCTGTTATGGTTGACACATAACTAATAGGGAGCATGAGGTCACATGAAGCCAATTAAGGCCATCTATAAGCGTTCAGGTTAATCCAGATCAAAATATGGTCAATCATGATTAAGTTAAAGTCAATAATGACCAAAGGGATTAAATAGGATTAATTAAGGGGTCACTAATTCGAAGTGAAATTGATTGGCAAAAATAAACCAAGGTTAACCTAGGACTGCTTTAGGGCATCTATGGTGCTCAGGTCAATCTAGAGCAAACCACAATCAATCATGAGTGATGTAAAGTTAAATCACGATCAATGAGATTAACCAGGGCTAATTAAGGGGTCAACAAATGAAAGATGAAGCGAGGACTAATTCAAGGCTAGCGGGGCTTTAGAATGTCATCTAGGGCCATTTTTAGGCCCACTAAGTCAAGGCAAGTCAATATTAGTTTAGGGTCAATTGAAACATAAAGGATTTGAGAATGACCATGCATTGTCCAACTAAATCACATAGTAGTTCAAGGCCTGTCTAGGGTGACTAAATAGGTCTTTTGATAGACCATGACGGGAGGAACCTAATTCTTCTCATTAAACATTCCCATGCACAAAGGCCACCCAATGTATGTCAAAACCTTGTTGAGGCCCGGATCCCTCCCCTACTTTTTTAGAGGCAACCAACTCTTTCTAGTACTCAGTTTTATACAAGTTTTCAATTCTCTTATTTTCCATTGTGATTTGTATTGTTTTTCTTAAATAATTCAGGTGGCGCTCCATGTTTGGTATTGCAATCATTCCATCAATTCTGTTGGCACTAGGGATGGCTATCTCCCCTGAGAGCCCCCGTTGGCTTGTTCAGGTATCTTGAGCTTAATAAATACTTAACAGTTCCAATTAACCCGCTCTTTCTTTGCTTATAAGAATTTTTGTTGATGCACATTCCCTAGCAGTAGTATTTCATTGCACTTAATGGCATGCACTTTCAGCAAGGAAAATTTAGTGAAGCGGAAAATGCTGTAAGGACCCTCTATGGAAAAGAAAGGGTTGCTGAGGTTATGTATGACCTTAAAGCAGGAGCTCAAGGTCGCACAGAGCAAGATGCTGGTTGGTTTGATCTTTTCAGTAAGCGGTACTGGAAAGGTAAATAGGACCTTAGCACGTCATATTTACTTGTTGGTTCGCAAGATTTTAAGCTTTATGCTTTCTTCTATGTACAGTGGTGATAAATTCAGCTGCATACCTAATAATTTCAGTTTTCCCTAAACTTTCATATTTAGCATAGTGTCAAATTTCTTAACATTATTTTGTGTGGTGAAGCTGTGATTTTTATGCTTTTTGTGAATTATGGTAGATCAAACTTCACAGCCTCATCTATTTCACCTATCACTCTCTGAAGCTGATGAATGATAAGACAAATCATACCTCGCTGCATTTTGATAAAATTAAGCTTTTATTGCAAAAATGGGAAAAATTGCAGCAAGGGATGATGGCTACATAATTATTTTTGGTGTTTGTTGAACTCTAATTTGATTGATTGTATATTTTATTCTATCTGTTTTTATTCTCCTTAACTTTTATTCTTTCCAAACTTATTTCCACCTTGCCTTAATTTTTTAGATTGCCGTTGCCGTTATTTTAATGACCATTTTTTCTATCTGTTTTTATTCTCCTTAACTTTTATTCCTTCCAAACTTATTTCCACCTTGCCTTCATTTTTTAGATTGCCGTTGCCGTTATTTTAATGACCTTTCATTTACTATGATGTGAGTGAATTTGCATTTTATGTTGAAGATGTGAATAGCATGCTAGAAGAATAACTTTGATTTATTTTTTGAGAGATAATTGTTGTAGTACTCTTAGTTTTGCAGTTTTTTTTTAAATAAAGTAGCAATTTTTTACTTCAGATCTCAGCTTTGATTGAGAGTTCTTTATATGTTCAAGGCTTTGGATGGCTCATTTTTCTAGGGTCAGTTACAAACTAAGGAAAACTAAGCATATTTTCTTTTAACCTATTTTTGACAACCGTAGTTGTAAGTGTGGGGGCAGCATTATTCTTGTTTCAGCAGTTAGCTGGAATAAATGCGGTGGTCTACTATTCTACATCTGTATTTCGAAGTGCTGGTATTGCTTCTGATGCTGCAGCTAGTGCTTTGGTTGGAGCATCAAACGTCTTTGGTGAGTCTACCCTAATTCTGATTCTAACACCATCTGATGATAACTTAATTGTTACTTCTACATATATTAGTGGAAATAATTCCCTTCTTTAACAAGATCTCGTAGCTTTGCAGGCACTGCCGTAGCATCATCATTGATGGACAGGAAAGGAAGGAAAAGCCTTCTCTTGTTTAGCTTTATTGGAATGGTAAGATCTAATTCCTAGTAAGGAATATTTCTTTAATGTTACATGGGATTGATTCTATAATTTTTCTTCAAAATTCAATTTTCCTTTTAATGTTAAATAACTCATTTGGGGTCCATTTAGGAGCTTGGAGTTGAAAACTGTAATTTGAAAAATGATGAGTTTACTAGATTCTATCATTTGGTTGGATATATTTTGAAATCACTATTGAGTTTAGACTTTATAATCACTTTCAAAATCCCTCAAAATTGATGATTTTATTTTTGAGTAAAAGCCCAATATAGCTCTCCGACTATTAAGAGGTGTCTAATTTAGTCTCAAAGTTTTAGAATGCTTCAATTTAGTCTCAAACTATTAAAAGTTACTCCAAGTTTGTCCTAAATCATATTTTCCGTTAAATTTAATGGTGCCCTACATGAATTGAAGAGTGTTTTTGTCTTTTATTTAATTTTAAAATTATATTCAAAATTATTTTCTGGGAAATATTATTTCAACTTGATCTATATGGCTGAGTTCATATATATATTTTTTTATGAATATATATATATAGTATATATATATATATAAACACACACAAGTATTTTATTGTACTTGTCTAACATAATAAATCGCAGACATAATTCATATTCATCATGTCTTCCTAAATATTTATGCCTATGAAATAATTATCACAAGCAATTATTATCAGCAAGTAATTATTCTCGCTTTCCACATATTACATTCAGGCCACATGCAACTTTGTACTATCTCTGTCAATTCGTTACCCATTGGATCTTAAAGATTATGTAACTAAATATTAAATTCCAAATATTGTAAATATAATTATTCAAAATTTGTGGTTTGTGTATAAATCTTTTTTTTTATTTGTTGTTGAAAAGTTATAATTTTTTATTTGCATTAATAAATCTCTTCACAACAGTTATCACTTATTTTTCAAATGAAAAATTTTAAAATAATCAAGAATTATGCATTAAGAGTTCACTCACTCTGAAATTTTTTGAAATACTCGATTTCAATTGAATTTTTTATTTTAATATTATTTATTAAATAAAGCATTTTTAAATGATTAAAGTTAACTAGAATAATTAATAAATGAATTTATACTACGTTTGAAATATTATGTATGTGAATAGCAAAATTATGTGATTTATGGCAAACCACTTATATTTTTACTATATATATATATATATATCATATGCAACATAAGGTTGTGTAATATTAAATTGAAAATAGCTTTTTTCTACTTATTTGTTGCGAAGGAATTGAGTGAAAAAAAAGGTAAAGTTATATTTTATTTGATTGATTTAATAGTGTGTTTAATTCTAAATGGTAGGCTATATGTGAGTTCAAATAATGATTCAACAAAAAAAAATCATATTTTTCACTATAACAGAAATGAAATTTTGAATAAAAAAATGTATTTTTCAGCATTTCTTTGTTATCAAATTGTGAGTGTGTGTGTAAACAATCCTCCTATTTTCCATTATAGTTTTACACAGCAAAATAAGCAAACTACAAGCCAAGTCTTTATTAACCTATTTGCAAATATGTTAAATGCTTTCATAAAATTTTTTTAGCTCTCTGCATTATGCACGATAAATGAAATTTTCATTAGGGTATTAAATTTCATTTATAGGGATAAATTTCATTAAACTATAGAACACTTAGTCTGCATCAGCAATTTTGAATAATTTCACAATAAAACAATCCATATTTACCAGAAAATTTCAATACACCATGCCATCATAACTTTTTTAAATATAGAAAAAAAATTATAGTTTTCAAAATCGCCACGACATCAAACACATTATTTAATACAAAGCGTCGTCATTGTGTTTAAAACTATAAAATTTCAAAATACTCATGGCACAGTTATAAACCTAAGTTTATACAAAAAAACTCCAAAACTATAAAACTCGATAGCCCATAAAATCCTCCAAACTTCATTAGCCAATCTTCTTCCTTTTGGAAGTGTAAACTTGTTAACAAACAAAAAATCACATTAATATATGAAACATTAAACTGCACAACTCCTTACAAAATTTTATTTAGTAGCTAACCAATAATCTTCAATTAATTGATCCTTGTGTTGACACATCCCATGTTGATATTATTTGCGAATCACAATTTTGATTAATATCCCATAACTGAGCATACCAAAAAAAATTAATTACACAAAGTCTAGGGTACTCGTCATTTACTTAAATAAACTCGATATATGAATTTATTATAGTTACAAAAGTAATGGTATCATTTGATTCTTCAACATACAACTAATTTTCTAAGATTTCCTCGACTTGGAGTGATTGTGCAATTTGAGTTACCACAACTTCTGCTATTGTGCCCATTTTGTCTGCATTTGCTACATTGTAAAGCCATTGTTGACTTAAGCTTCTCTTCTGTGAGTCATTTTGTTGTTCATCTAAACCTCTTCTTCTTAACTCTAGTGGTTGGCCCCTCTTAGGTTTATTATATTTTGGTGGAAGTGATGTGCTTAAATATTGAGCTCGTAAGTTCTTTTGTACATATCAGAAGTATAATAATTATGGATAAAATGTTCATGGTCTACCCACCCATATTGATTGCAGCAAATGCATGAAGACAAGGCAAGCCAATTAGTTTCTATCGTCTACAACTGCAAGACATATCATTTAAGTTGACAAAGTACCGTGCCCCTTGCATTGTTGTGATCTGATAGTTGTAATTATGAGCTTTCACTCCAATACATTTGCCAAATTCATATATTTTTTTTTTCAAAATGTTTCTCCAATTTTGGACAAAACTTAACATTCCACTTCATTAAACTCTCTTTTTCCTTGCATCATTATCATCATCATGGTTCTAATATTCACAAACATAGTTATAAAAGGCAATTCTTTATCTTCCATGATAGAGTTGAAGCATTCATAAATATTGATAAGTAGCATATCACATTTAGAGATACAATTAAAATGTGACCGAGACCACTCACTTGGTTTCTTTTTAGCTAACCATCGATAAGCATTCTGATCCAATTTAGTTATTTTACTCATATTGTATGTAAATTGATTTACTGTAGTACTCTACGTTGTAGCCCACAAAATATTTTTCAAAGCAACTCTCTAAAATCCCGTCAACTTAAAATTATCGTGCAGACGGCACACACAAAATCTATTTGTAAAAATCAAGCAAAACATGATCAAAAGCAGGCACCGATCCGTTTTGTTTATCCGAGATTAATATAAACTTGAATTGTTTATCAAAAATATGTAAATCTCTAGCCAACAAATCTAAGAACCATCCCCAACTATTTCTAGTTTCACTTTCAACAAATGCTAATGTTACTGAATATATTATTATTATCATCCAAATTAGTTACATTTAACAGTTGGCCCCTTGTGGTCTCTTCAAAAACAACCACCAACCCCAATTATTAGCCTTCAACCTAAGAGGAAGCCTTTTTTACATGCTTAAAAAGCAAACATACATCCTAACAAAACTCAGTCGAGCCTACAAATTTGTGTCTTGTGTTGTGTTTACAGATATAGCTGTTCCTGGATTTGTTATGGTAATTTCCAAATAATAATCTCATTTCTTGAATTGTTCATTCTATTTCATGTGCCCCAGCTTGTGTGTCTTGTCGATAGCCTTCCTAGCTTGTGATTTTGCTAAAATATTTAGTTTTGCATTGCAGATTCATCCTTTATTCATAAATTTCTTTGCTATAGTTGTGGAGGTTAAAGTTTTATTATGATAACTCCATAAACAAGTATGCTCGATCTTTTCTGTCACGAATGACTTCCCCCATGTTTTGAAATATACAAGTGAAATGAATAATTTTGCTTCTTGCAAAAAGTTTTGCACATTTTATCATTTTTTTAAGAATTTTTTGCTCTTTCCCCTATTAATTTATTAATTTCACGCAGCTTGTTTAAATTCATCTTTTGTACTAAATAATATTCTTACTTCAAGATCATATTTTTGAAACTCTGTTATATAATTGAAAACTAACCACTTAATCTTGTCATCTTCCTTGCTGTTATGAACACTGATTTCCTCATTAGAATTCATGCAGTCACCATCATAACATTTTCTTTATAATATTTCATTAGAAATTTGAATGCATTCTTTAATCTTTTTACCTTTATTTGTTATACCTATAAATTCAACAGAATGATTAACATTGCATTCAAATTACTCATCATCTTCATGAATGTCATAATCATTTTCTATAAACTCTTCACAATCGTCTGAAACATTATATTTGAAGTCTTCATCATCATAAAAATTATCCATTTCATCTACCTCTATATGTTTATTCTTGCCCTTATTTTTTTCTAGTTCAACGCCATTCATTTCACTCAAACCACCAAAGAGTTGTAAGAAATTTGTATCATCGAGTCATTCAGATACAATTTCATATACTCCAACATTTTCAAATGACATTAGGGTTTAGGGTTTAGGGTTTAGGCGATAACAAATAATATTCTTAATTTTATGGCATTCACAAATTGAATTATATAACTGTTGAAATAACTCATAACTATGCTCAGCATCGAGGGACCATCATACTTGTTGCCTCTTTGTTAACCATTTTTTGAATAAACCACTCTTGCTTACACACTGAACAAAATCACAAACCAAATGCTCTAAACAAAAGAAGGAAACACTTCTGTTACATTAATTTAATTTACTAAATCTAAAACACAACAAAAATAGATGCCAAAATATACATGTACGAAGTACAATCCAGGAATTGAGTTGAAATTACCATACAAATCCATATTTGAACTCAACATTAAAAGAATCTTTCAAAAAATCTGAACGGTACACAATGAAATTTTTAAGCTTAAAAGGCTATAGATAAAAATAAAGAACACTATAATTAAAGAACATGCCAAAAAAAAGGGCCATTCACATACTTACCGCCCAATTCCTATGTATTTAACTATCTAACACCTAAACTTTGTTTTTTTACATTTAAACCCCCCCAAAAAAGGGACATTTACATATATACCACTCAATTCCCATGTATTTACATATCTATCACCTAAACTTTGTTTTTTAACTTAAAAAAACCAAATAGCCCTAAATACTGCAAAATCTGAAATCTAATTTCTTCACTGTTTTTTCCCTTAAATCTGATTAAATCCAAAAGATGCTAAATGGTGAAGAAAAAGAAGATTTTGCCTTTTGTTCTAGATGAATTACTCCTCTCCACATAATAGAGTATCATCTCTATCTGACTCCAGTTGTAGCTTCTCCGGGTCGATCCGATGCTGGTCGAAGCCACCGTAAATCGCAGCTCATGCCTGACCACTACACCTTCCCTCTTTCTCCTGTACATAAAGAAGGGTTGAACCAATGCAGCACCCGCACGAAGATGTGGGAAGTATAGGAATGGGCAAACCGATGCAGCCCACGCACGAACCCAACACCTTCCTCTTTCTCATCCGTGTCCTAGCCGAATATGCAAATTGCATCTCGTGTACTTTGCATACCCTTAGAGTACGCGTCATGAGTTGGGGTCAATGAAACAAAAGCAAGAAGCTGCGAGAGTGGAGCAGGTTTATGGTTTCTTAAGAATGCTCCAGATTCCATTAGCGTACCAAGCGAAGCCTAGGGCTTTAATTAGTGAATATTATGAACAGACCAATTTACCCTTGAATTCATGTTGGTCGCCGTTAAATTTACAGAAAAATATGATTGATGCCCAATTTAGAGCAATTTTTAACTGTCGTGGACTAAATCAGAGCATTCTAAAACTCTAAGATTAAATTAGATGCTTCTTGATAGTTGGGGGATTATTTTGGACATCTACTCTTTTGGTTTTACACATGAGATGATGAGTGAAATTTAAGTCATCTACTTTTAAAATATTTTTTGTGCCGGCCATACATTCTCATTTTAACTGCCTTTTACTAAGTTAACATACAGATTCATTGTCTAGAGTTTCTTGCATTCTTCTAGCTTATTTTTTTATGTATATAATGCAATGCCTTTGTTTTGAAATATATGCTTGTCCTTCCTAAAGGCTGCTTCAATGCTGCTTCTTTCTTTGTCATTCTCATTGAAAGCTCTGGCACCTTATTCTGGAACACTTGCTGTTCTCGGGACGGTTCTGTAAGTCAAGATTTTTGCAATGGCAGCTTGTCAAATGGATTTCATCATTTTGTTTTATATCTTGGTTTTATAAATTTGTTTTATTTCTCAAAATTCATGATCTGATAATGACTATTTATTTGCATTGAAAAAGCTATGTGTTGTCCTTTTCACTTGGTGCTGGACCAGTACCAGCTCTTCTGCTCCCTGAATTATTTGCTTCCAGGATTAGAGCCAAGGCAGTTGCATTGTCTTTGGGTATGCACTGGGTGAGTTTCTCAGTAATCTATCTCCTTCATAACCCTTCTGAATTCTTTTTGTTTTAACTGAATTTAATTCCATGTGGAATCTTGCCTTAATTTTCTTAGATGGTGCAAACAAAATTCTTCATTGGTAGACTATCTACCAATAAGATGAGTGTATGAAATTAATGTTGAAAGATTATAAAGTAAAAGACCAGAAGTAATATAAATAGAAGTTGTATATATAGGTTGCACAAATTGACTGAACCATTAACACCACGATCAATTGGAATAAATTGTAGGTGAGGATTTGTAAAATCTACACCAAATAGTTATTATAAGAATAATGATGCTTAGTCATAATTATTTAACTATTCAGATTGTTTTCAATTTTTTTTCCTATTATTTTTTTTCTAAAAATTGATTGCTTATCGTAAATCGAATCGTGCTTCTTAGAAGAAACTTTTGGTCATTTTCTTAGGACGGTGAGTTAGAGAAATTTAAGAATAGAGAATGTTCAACTACTCTTTCTAAGGAAAATAATGTCAATAAATTATTATTTTTTATACAATTTCAGCCTTCAATAAAATATATCATGATTGCTTATAATATATGGGTAGAAGAAATCCGTTAGGAAAGTATCTTTGGCTTTTTTGACATTATCTTAATAATTTTAATTTTTTTAGTTTTTTAACTCTCCTTCACTTGATGAATTCTTCTACATGTGGTTAAAAGTATTATGGTGATTTGAGAGGTTTCATACTTTGTGTACGGTGGGGGTATTTTGTTGCTTAAAATGCTTTTAATGGCATAATATCTATAGTTGTTGAATAAGATAATGACAATAATTTTTTAAGTTGACATGTGTCTCTTGTATGTGGGCTAGTTACCAATCCTAATGTTTTATACTCTTTCGATGGAAATATATGTCATGTAATTATAATAGGAATTGAGAACTTGTGAAGAGGAAAAATAGTAAATAAGCAGTAAATCCAAGGGTCCTACTCAGCATGTAGTATATAGTGGATTTATAGGAAGAGAACTGAGAGGAACTTAAAACGTAATCATCATTATTATATGTTTTAAGTGAAAACTTTTGAAAAATTGTTTCAGCAATAGTATTGCAACTTATGTCAACTAATTGCAACATATATGAATAAAAATTATGTTGATAAAATACTAATAATAACATAATATCTAATAATGATTAATGAGTCGATGCCATATTGTAGTTGAGGATGCTCAATCAAGTGGGTTGAATCTTGTAATGGAGGTTTATGAGTAAAATGTAAGCTACGGTACATTTCATATTGTGGCCATCATTGAAGTCTCTGAGATGTATCTCAGAATGTGAAGTCTCACCGAGTATTCAACAAAGATAAGAAAAGTCAAGCTGGACATTTGAAGCTATAGCAAATATGTTCATAAGATTACTTCAAAAATAGAAGTATTTTCAGAAGTTAGTAGCGCATATTAAAGTTAATTGCCAGGTAAAAAATAATGTTAGCAAATGAGTACAATAGCCCTTTTTGATGGAATAGAAGATCTCCTTTCTTGAAACAAGAGTATTTGGTAGAAGAAAATCTTGCTTAAGGAATTCTAGGGTAAGGTTGTCACTTGTGGTAGTGAAGACATCTCTTTGAATTGTTGATTTTTCCTCTCTTCTAAGACAAGGATTATATTGCTTTGGATTTTTATTTCTTTTGTTCTCTCATACCAATTGATGGGGAGATGGTTAATAGGCTGCAATGTTGGTGGAAAGGGGATGAAAGAATTAGTTGGTGGAAGAATACCCTTCACTAGTTTAGAGTTTTTGGGTAGATTTATATTGGAAGCTTTTTTATATTGCATAACTAGATTTCTTTGATGGAAAAGGGTGAGGGCCGCTAAATTAGGTTTTTGGGATATAGCTAACTAATTAAGATGATATTAGGTCAATTAGCAATATGGATATGATGTTATGAAATTTTTATATGGATTGGTCACAATAGATGGATAGTAGGAGTTAGGGTTTTATGGAAGGGAAATGAATTGGTTTTGGAGGGTTGAGGTGATTTAAAGATTTGGGAGGGTTGTGGAGATGTAGAATAACAAAGTTTAAAGAGGAAGAGAAAGATATTAAGTTTTACAAATCTCAATTGTGGTTGATTCATATATCAATTTAAAAGCTGGTAGCGCCAACACCTTGTTGCACACTTTGCAATAGATTATAAGCTATTTTTTTCATTGAAGCAATGTATTATAAATAATTCAGGAAGTGGTATTGAAATGGTTAGAAGTAAATAATGAAATATACAAAATTCTCTTTAAAAAAATTTGTCCAAGTGCTATATTCGCTGACCCCTCAAAGTCTTTTCATATTTGAAAACGAACTGTCACTCTAATTTGAAGAATTCAACTAAATATTTGATTGCTTGTCTTAAATTCTAAATTTGGGTTTATTGCTATGGCTCAATAATAGGTTGTTATATTCATTGTCATCAAATTAATTAATTATTGTGAAATTGAGCCTTAATTATTTTAATCCAGTGGTAACCTTTCTTGTTTGTTCTACATGAATAACTAGATATCTCTTTTTCTCTATATCTTTGCTTAATATTTCTCATTGTTTGTGACTTGTTGTTTCTTTGTTTCCTTTTGCCCAAGTTCATCGCAGAAGGCAACAAATCTAATATTACATATTTCACTACAACTTTTACTCTTTTTTTTTCATACATTATTCTGGCTGTTCACTTTTGTAGTGTAACTTTTGCTCTTTTTTTTTCATACATTATTCTGGCTGTTCACTCACTGAAAATTAAAATTTTGGTTCTCATACAGATTTCCAACTTTCTGATTGGTCTCTTCTTCTTGAGTGTTGTGAACAAGTTTGGTATTAGTGCTGTTTATATGGGGTTTTCTGGGGTTTGTCTGCTGGCTGTTCTGTACGTAGCAGGCAATGTGGTTGAGACAAAGGGCCGATCTTTAGAGGAGATTGAGTTGGCCCTCAACCCCTCAGTTTGAGTTTATGCGTTAACAATTCAAATCAGTACACAATCTGTTTATGACGCTTGTAACAAACTGTTAAAAGCCAGTCAATAATTCAAAAAACTTTGTTTCGGGCTCCTTTGATTGCTCCAAATTCGGAAACCAAGGATTAGCTTGAAAAACACAGTAGTTTTCGACCACATTCTACTTTTCAGAGATTTGGAATGATGTATCGTGTTAAAATTGCATTTATTCTTTTTTTTTTTCCATTTATTTTAAGGTCTACTGATTTTCATATATTATTTCACCTGAAGGCTTTGTTAATCAACATTAATAATATTTGAAGAAATTTATGATAAAAATAATTTGTGGACTCACATTAATAATACTTCCATTCATTCATAACAGAAGCTCATGGCGTTCCACTTATTTTAAGGTCTCTGATTTTCATATATTTCACCTGAAGGCTTTGTTAATCAACATTAATAATATTTGAAGAAAATTATGATAAAAATAATTTGTGGACTCACATACTTCCATTCATTCATAACAGAAGCTCATGGCGTTCCTATGTATGTTCATACCGAACAGCTAAACTATCATGTTTCATGCATGGCACTCTTAAATTTGTGACATCGCAGCAAAAATATCATTGTTAATAACTTTTTAAAGTGAAATATGGTTTCTAATGCATGGGCTTTTTGACACCAAAGATTTATAAATGAGAATTTGAATAGGAGTTGATTACTGGTAGGAGGCCTTTTTATCCCAGTGGTCGGGATGAAGTCGTGCGCTGTTCAGTTTTATAAATTAAAGATGCCAACCAAAGTTAATATATAAGAATGAAGTATTAGATGAAGGAGGAGTGAGATGATGCAAACCATTAAGGTAGAATGAATTCAGAGCTGAAGGAAACTCCACAATTTGTGGAAAGCCTCCGAAGAGAATCCAGTCCACGTGAACTTGCATGAAGTAGAATATCTAATAAACGCCACTAATAGTAGCAGATTCAACCAATAAGAAACTGAGAACGGAAAGAGCAGCTCCTCTGTACTTAAGTCCAGTTTTATAGGAGAACCAAGTACTAAAACAGTGAAACAAAGCTGAGATGGTAGTGATAATCAAGATGGGCATCACTTGATAAGCTGCGATGGTATAAGTTACAGGGATGAGAGGGATGAGTGGCCCCTGTAATTGTTAGCAAAACAGAAATAGGAGGAAGAAGAAGATGAGATTCATATGGCATATAGAAGTATTTTCCCCACTAATTCATTCAAAGCAACAGTAAATGAAAATATAGATGTAGGAAGAAGACTCTAGGGGACCAAGTGGTCCCAAGTTGTTTACAGAGCAATGATATAGGAAAGTAGAGAATAACACATGATATGGTGGTTATCATATGTTTATTACTTCCCTTCAAACTCATGATCTGGATCAATGATTGTGAGTTTGCGACGAACGGTGATGAAATGAGGTTGAAACAAGCATTTCGTAAGTATGTCGGCGATCTAATCTTGGGAGACAATGTGATGTAGTTGAATTTTGTTGGAGACAAGATAATCCGGAACAAAATGATGATAGATCTCGATGTATTTTGTGAGGGCATGAAAAATTTGGTTGAGGGCAATTGCGATAGCTGAAGTATTATCACAATAGATGGGTGTCAGAGCTGCTACCTTTAAGTTGAAGTTATGAAGGAGTTGACGAAGCTATATAGTGTTGGCGGTAGCTATGGCAAGAGCCTTTTATTCTGCCTCAGTAGAAGATTGAGCCGCTGTTTTTTTTTTTTTTTGAAAAGCCTAGGCTGAACAGCCTAGGAGATGAGATTGTTGTCAAGGAAGAAACAATATTCTGAAGTGGATCTTTTGTCGTCGATATTGCCCACCCAATCAACATCGAAGTAGCACTAAAGTTGTAGATCTCCCTTGGTGAGTTGAAGGCTACAGTGACTGGTTGCTTTAAGATAGAGAAGTACCCTTTTGATTAGTTGAAAATGGTAGATAAGTGGTTTGTGCATTTATTGGCATATGAAGTTGACTGTAAAGGTGATGTCCGACCTTGTAACAATGAGGAATTGGAGCGACCCAGCAAGTTGACAATAGTGAGTTGAGGATATTCTTGCTTAGTTTATTGGCATATGAAGTTGACGGTAAAGGTGATGTCCGACCTTGATACAATGAGGAATTGGAGCGACCCAGTAAGTTGACAATAGTGAGTTGAGGATATTCTTGCTTAGAGTGTTTGTCCGGTTTAAGCTTGGTGGGGAGAGATATATGAAGAGGCTTGCAATATTCCATATTATTTGTTGTAAGAGAGGCAATATAGTTTGTTTGAGTGAGGAAATAAACATGAAAACCATGAAAAATGTAGTGAATTTGGATGCCAAGGAAATTGTTGATTACACCAAGATCTTAGAGCTGAAATGCAGATTTTAGGTGTTGAAGGGCATTGAAGAGGGCTATAGAATCATTAACTATGAGGAGAATTTCATCGACGTTGACTGGAAGATACATTTGAAATGCATGTGTTGATATACGAGAAGAGAGGGGTCGGCTTTGCTCATTTGAAAGCCTTGAAGCTTGAGGTGATTGGAGAAGGTGGAATGCCACTGTCGGGGCCCCTGTTTTAGGCCGTAGAGGGATTTTTTAAGTAAGCAGATAAAATTTGGATTTTGATTTTCTTGAAAATCTTGTGATTGCTACATGTAAATAGTTTCATCAAGAGAGCCATGAAGGAAAGCATTAGATATGTCGAGTTGTTTGACCAGCCAATCGTGAGTGAGAGCAATTGTTAGAAGAATTCAGATGGTTGGAAGCTTGGCGACAGGACTGAAGGTCTCATTGTAGTTAATGTCAGGTAGTTGTTTGAACTCCTGAGCTACAAAACGAGCTTTGTGCTTGGCGATTGAACCATCAAAATTAAATTTGGTTATGTATGTTCACCTGCAACCAATGATGTTGTGATTTGATAGTGGAGGGACCAATTGTCAGGTTCCTTGGCTTTAAAGAGCATGAAACTCACATGACATTGCTTTCCTCCATTGAGGAAACTTTATAGCTTCCATATAGCCACTAGGATCGGTGGTGAATGTGGTAGTAGTGTTTAGATCAAGAATATGTCTAGGCTTGAGAGAGCCGGTTTGAGCTCGGGTAAGCATGGGGTGACGGGTGATTTGCTTTGGTGGTTCACTGATAGAGGGATCTATGGTAGGAGTAGATGTTGGCGATTATTGTTGAGGCTGAGTAGCTATCGGTGAGAGGGTTGTTGCAGGAGGTGGTTGGGCGGGTAGTTGAGCTATGAATGAATATGCAGGAAGTGGATGGGCGGGAATTTGAGTCGAAACAGGATGGAGGAGATACGGTGATGAGCAATTTTGTCAGCCCGAAAGAGCTTGCCTTCTTGTGAAACTGAGGTGAGTAAAAAATCGTCACACTCGATCGAGGTCTCTGATACCATGATAAGTTGCGACAGTTGGTATAAGTTACAGGGATGAGCAGTCCCTCTAATTGTTAGCAAAACAAAAATAGGAGGAAGAAGAAGATGAGATTCGTATGGCACATAGAAGTATTTTCCTCATTAATTCATTCACAAAAACAGAACATGAATTAAGATGTAGGAAGAAGACTCTAGAAGGACCAAGCGGTCCCAAGTTGGTGACAAAGCAATGATACAGGAAAGTGGAGAATAATACTTAAAAAATTAATAATATAATAATAATAATATATAATACTATGGAATTCCCTTACACAGAAAAAAATAGCTCATCGCTCGCGTGCACAAGCGCGCCGACATGCTCCTGTGAGCCCCTACGCACCTGCGCAACTGTGTGTGCACGTGCGCCTGCGCTGCTCACATGCCCGCGAGCACGCGCGCATGCTTGTGTGCATAATGAAATGCAAGTCCATGCAAACCTCTGCACACTAGCTCCCTCTGAGCCTACACGCCTTGCTTCCGCACTTCCACACCCCTGCAAGAGCTTGTGTGTGCGCGCACTTATGTCCGTCCAGCCGCCCAAAGCAGCTTTTGGTTGAAATTTTTGACTTTTTCACCCCATATTGTGCTTCCCATTGGTTTCTTAGCTTCCCATTGGACATGGGCTGAATTTGGTGGTCCAATGAGAAGCTTTGCATGGCTGCCAACTTCTTAAAAGACCTATGGGAAGATGCCACATGGAAATGAAGCATTATTTTATGCACGGGAGGGAAATTTCCCTTCCTTTTCCTAGCCTCATGAGAGGCTAAGTGAGGGATCCGAAAATCACTTGGGGGAGAGCTTATTTTTCAGCTGAGGAGAGTTCACTTGGAGCTTGGGAGAGCATTCAAAAGAAAGCTAGAGAGTGGAGAGGAGTTCCTTTGGAGAAAATCATTCTCTTCTTCTTCTTCCCATTTTCCTTGAAGATTTTTGTCTTCTTCCTCATTTTTTCTTCTCTCCATTCCTTCTTGAGACTGTGAGACTGTGAGAGCTGTTAGGGATTTCCTTTGCTTAACGATAGCTTCTTTCATTCTTGGGAATAGGAAGGAGCCACTTCCATCATAATACCAAGGCGAGCTAGGACAAGGAAAAGAGTGCGACTTCAACCATCATATAGGTGAGAGCTCTTAGATTCTTTTTTTTCTGCTTTCTTAGAGAAGCCCTAGGTTCTGTGATAGAGATTTAGGTTAAGCTTTCTTGATAGGGATCAACCTCTAGGCTAGGAAAATTTTGTTACCTCAAAGTCTAACGCTACCTTGAGAGTTTTTTTTTTCCTTGAAACCCTTAGCCATTAACCCCAAAATATGGGATTGTAATAATCACGTGATTGATTTGGCAGCTCCATCTATCGTATGGGTTGGATGGAGCCCCTGAAATTGTTTAGAGAATGAAATTCTCTGTGATGTTTCGTTCTCTAGGCTGGGAAAGTTTCAGCCATGAAAAGATCCTTCATTTTCATGAGGGGTTCTCTTCATGAAAGAAACCCTTTCTCGAATCTACCAAATCGACCGGAGATGGGCCTTATTATCTGCTTACACAGTAAGCATAATATGATAAGAGGTTGGGACATCTTGTCATACAACCCTAGGACCCTAGTAAGGTTTGTTGTTCATCATATGTATGGAATTTAGTTTATGTTGCATCGCATGACTCTCTTAAAATGTGCATTAAAAACTCATTTTTGTGCATGTCTTGTGATTGGACACTTTCCTCATAATTGACCTAATCTTTATTTATGTTGATTTGTTCAATCGATCGCAACTGGTCGTATCAATCAATTGACCTTTTTCGATCGATCAGGTTGTCCAATAGATGATCGATCGAAAGGTCGTACTAGAAGTGTTTTGTACCCACATTAGCACGTCAATGTACATTCACGAGCAAATGTTTTCAAATGCTCATAACAAATATTTATGTCCTTCCACTTGAACATGCTACCCCATGCATCAGCTTGTCAACATCCTTGTATGTCATCAAGCATCCGCACACCATTGTGTATGTTTCTTCTTTCGCATAGCATAACATGTTCAAGTCTTGTATGCTCATGTTTTGTATGCTCATCGTCGGCACGTGAGTCTGTTCCTTTGTACGCTCACTTTATTTCTCACATGGCTTGTGTGAGAGGAGGCTTGCACTCTAAGCCTGCCTATTGTATTTCTTCTTAGTGAGAACTATGACATCTGTTATCCTATCGCAACACTCTGAAATGTCATAGGAAAGGTGCCTCGTGTATCCCCGTCTGTGCAAGTCATGTCTTCATGACCTCTGAACTTGCTTGGTGTACCCTAGGTGCCCACCGGTGCAAGTCATTCCTCCATGGCCTTTAAACTTGTTCGGTGCACTGTGTATGCCTGCCAGTGCGAGTCATGCCTTCTCAGCCTTTGAACTTATCAGGCACATTACGTGCTCCTGTTAGGGCACACGCAATTCCCACCAAGCAGGGGTCAAGTTCCATAGCCTTTGAACTCATTTGGTGTGCAAATTGTGCTACCCGCCTTATGTGGCAATGTCTGGTATGGTCATGGGCATATCTCCATATAGAGTATGTGACTAGTTGTTTGTGTAACGCATTCCATTGTATGTATGTCTACTATTTGTATCCATGTATGATCATGTAGCATGCCTTACATCTACATACATGCACTCCTTGTGTTTGTCATGAGCACGTGCCACCATGTGTTTAATGATAAATGCTTGTCACTTAGTGATCATCCTCACCTCTGTAGGGTGGTCACAACACACTGAATCACCCTGCACTTTGCATCTGCATATGTGTTGCTTACTTGCCTTGATGGCTAACCATACCCTCTATGGGAGTGACTCGATGTTGGTCTAAATGAAGTAACGAGCAGTGCTCACGAGCACATCTCAGCAAGCAATGCGAGTTATCGCATTAGGAGCAGCACACATATGTTGTGCTAAGGACCCAGGGGATTTATTAGATGCCACTTAGGCTCTTTCCTTTCATAGTACATATTTTAATATTATAAAAGAATTTTTTTTTATTTGCTCGTGTGTATCATAACTTTCAAAACCTATTTTGAAATTACTTGCATCCTTAGCTTAGATCGTACATGAGGTTAATATTGAGAGATTTTGCTCTCATAAAAACTGCGCTTAGTGACACGTCTTAGAAGCCTTGGATCCTCAGGACGGGGCCAGAGATAACGATCCCGTCAAGATATACGCTAGCCCTTGCCCACACACTGCACACACTTAGATGTTGTGATTAGGACATCATATGCTAGATGGCTTGCTAAGCTAGGGCTAGGTAGTCTTTTCGATGCCCTAACTATAGTTCCCTTAGTTTGCGCCTTAGCCATACATCATTTGATTGATGCTTTTTGTGTTTACCGGGTTTGAGATTTGTGAACTAGTATAATATGGTGTTTTCTTACAAGGAACCATGCTCAGTAAAAAAAGGAGATGTAATTATTTCCTACTAATATATTTATTCGCAGGAGCTTGCTAAGTCCTTCTGCTAGGACATAGCTCATTATGTTGCTAACCTCGTTGTTTTGCAGTTCGAGTCTTTTTTAGATTTTATCGTGTAATTTTTAGAGTCTTAGGCAATGTCAGTATGGAAAATATGGTACGGGCACGGATTCCGAGTTGTTAGACACGCGGAACCACATGATGAGGACCAGGAGCAAAAAACTCATGTTTCTTAACATAAGTTTGAGCTTATATTAATGTACAAATCTGGGACTAGGTATGTATGAAGCGGTGTCTGGCCACATTTTTTTGTCTTTCTGAGACATGTTGTCGGCCCAGCAACACCCGACATGTTCGTACTTTTTTCATGTTGGTGTGTCTTCACTTTCGTGCAGTCTGTTGAATTGCTTTTTCGCCATTTTGTGATTGATGGTTTGTCTGGGAAGCTTTAATGAAAAAAAAATATAATCTAGGCTCTCTAAGTACCTCAAATAATAAACTTTCTATAAAAAAAAATCTATTAAAAGATTAAAACAAATTAAAATTTAGAATTAAAATATTTTAGGTTTTTAAAATTTACACTTTTATTTCTTGTATGGTTTTGGCATTGGATTTTAAATGGGTTGCATGCATGGTCATATCCCCACCATGAAATTAATAATGTCTCAATAATAATCTAAGGACTGTTCTAGATAACTGCACTGCATTCTACATGTCCCGAGGAGGAGGCCCTCGTGCTCCTCCAAACCGACTGACCCAGCATTAACTTTTTACTTAAATGGTTGTCTAGAACGCCTAGGATTTTAGAAGGCTCCCTAACCCAGGAGGTGTGTAAGACCTTTCGTGTGAGCGCTTTAGCTTGCTAAGTTGGACCTGTCTTTCCTTTTGTAGTGGCTTCCTACCACGTATGTTGGTGGGTATAGTCGCAAGTTCCTATAAATTCCACTTGTTTAGGGTCATAGGATTTAGAGGTTTATTTCCTCTAGTCTTAGGGCCACTGAGATTTCTTTGGATGGTGCAACAAGTGAGTTGCTGACAAAGAATCCTAGGTTGTATTGGGGCAGGTACCTTCACGAACATGTGGACTTAGGGCCTTAGTTGCGTGAGATAACGAGTCCATGGAGCCCCTGGCCTGTCTACCTCTACCTTGTTAAGATTTCCTCACCTTCCATATTTTGGAAGCCCTCTTTAAGCATAATGCTTCCGTTGGCCCATTTGTTATGTCATCTAGTACGTCTTACTTAGCTGGCATGTCATTGTCTGTTTGGGATACGACGATTTGGCTTCTACCCTTATGGCCCAATACGACCTCAAAGCGGTGGGAAGATCCCACTTGATGACCCCGTCGCCTCATAGGGCCTCGGTTGCTTATTAGCTGCCATCCATTTGGATGCGAGATACTTTCTCTCCACCCTTACAAAAGTATAGGCTTTGTGGTGCTGAGACGTTCCGGTTTCGAGGCAATCATTTCTTTGATACCCCCCTTTTAACTATTTAGTCACAAAAGCATTAGCAAGAATCCTATTATTGAGAGTGTTATTGGGTATTCCCCAAATTATAATTTACTAAAGGGATACGTCTATTTGAGAGATGCTATTAAACCAAGAACAGACACAAAAACCTGATTATCTGGTTGTGGGTTACTTCCATAAAATATGCTTCCAAGTCATTTCAATTTGATCTCATTTCGGACATATGTTTCTTGGGCTATCACTAAAAAGAACAAAAAGATATAGCTCTTTAGTTATTTTTTTTATTGTTAAAATTTAACTAGTGTTTGTTGAATAAGAATATCCCAAATTTCAGAGAAAATATTATGTCCTATTGAAATTTGAAAAAAAAAAACTTAGCGCTCCTATTTCTCATCTTTAGAACCTCTTTGGTTGAATGTTAGTGGAAAGCATTTTACAAACATTATTTAATTTCACTTTTTATTAATATAAAAAATAGAATAATCATTTTCCTTGTAGTTTCAAAGTGTTTGCAAAGTATAAAATTCTCATAGATTTTCTTAACTACAACCAGTTAAATAATGTTATTTAATAAATTTCTTATTTTTCTTAAATAGATTTTTTTAGAAATTTCTTGTGTTTATATTTTGATTAGAAAAAAAATTATGTTTGATTAAAAAATTAATTTTGAATGTTTCAAAAATATTTTATTTTGTTTATAGAAACAAAAAAAAAATAGAACTAAAAAAAAAACACACCAAAATATATTTCTAAAAACAAATAAAAAACAAAAATAAAAAAAAATTGATCCCAAACAAACTGTCCTGATGGATGATCAGATTACAGTCTAAAAAAATTGAAGACAATTATTTAAAATTTAGACAGCAAAGTTTCCATATTAAAATTCAAAAAATTAGGAACATATTATACATTGCTTATTAATTTTATTTTTCTATGGTAAGAGGGTTGTTGCCTATTTGATGAAAGCAACAACGAAAAATAAAACAACTCGTGCCTTTATCCTGCACTCATTTTATTATTTCCAAATGCCAATCAAGCTTCTAAGTTTATTCGGAGTCAAACTAATGCAAATAATTGACAATCAATTTGATAAATAAATGGTCTTTTTTTTTTCAATGTAAATGAAACAAAGTAGGATATTTGCCAAAAGCTCGGATGATTTGAAATTTTCTGAAGTAAATTGCTGTTAGGCAAATCTATGACTTGAAATATAATTCGTATTATTTTGAAGGAAAACGCTCAATTAGATCAGATTGCAAAATATTTAAAATAGTGCTTGTAGGCAGTTTGAACCTCCTGCATTTTTCTCTTTTGTTTATGTGCATGTAAAGCTTCACGCAAAGTAAAGACTTGAAACCACATTCAACAAGTTTCTGTTAGTGATAACTAAACGTTCACAGTTTTGGCAAACAGAAAGATTGACAAAGCAGTACCACTCATGGAGACTATCAGAGTTCATCATAACTCTCTATTTGGATAAGGACAATGACAGTTCAATCTTGTAGAATACAAAATATAACAGTGTCAAGTGAAATCTCAACGTCAACGAGTTATTTTTTTTCATTATGTTAAATTTGACAGGTACAAAAGCAAACGCAACATCAAATTGCAGTAACAACCCGCGAGATCCTAAAAATCAAATCAACGTCCAGGGAAAAATAGAATAGTACATTTACACAAAATTTTGCGCATTTATGCTGTTTAAAAAGACAAACTATTTCCTAATAAAATAACTAAAACTAATTTGATGATAGTTGTTGGGTAGTATGCAAATTGGCCTAAAAATTCAATACAGGCAATTATACAACATATGTGGTGCGCAGCCTTTATTCTGCAACAGGCTTGGTATAAAAATAAATAAAAAATAAACACAAAAAAAGAAAGAAATGCTAAAAAGCATTAAAAGTTTTTCAAAATTTTATCTTGTGGTACACCATCGGCCATGAGCACGGATGCAACTTCCTGCAATGACAGAGAGAGAGATCAGCTTTAATGGTGAAAGAATTTTCTCACAATGCAGTTAAAGTTTCAATCTTGTAAAATTCAAGAGCCTGTATAGCAGAATGGGTCGACAGTAATTGCCTCATTGAAAAAAGATAAGAAGATAAATAGGCCCTTGTTCCTCATCATCCGTCATGTCTCAATGAAAGTATTGAAATACCAGAACCAAGATCAATGTTTACGAGTCAGATGAAGGCTTTTTTTTTCTTTCTTTCTTTAAAAATAATGAGCCCTCCCACCTGGCACGTTGGGATTTTTCACATAATTTCTAATCAATATGCTATGCATTTGAACACGTTAGCAGAAGATTGACGGGAGGATTATCCTGGCCTCTGAAAGTGAGCCTCTTTTGTATGTTTTGATTTGATTTGCATTAAGAGGCTTCTGAGGAGCAGATTACTTCAAAGTTTTTTAGTTATTATAACAAAGACATATCAGACTTTTCCCAATTCATGGGGCATATGTTATGAACACAATGAGCGAGATGCACACCAACTAAACAACTGTCACATTATGATTAGAGAGTGCATAAGATCATGAATTCTGCTAAATCGAGTATTGTAAGCCTAGCTCTACATCTGACCAACTTGAGGGGGTCTTTTTAAAAACATGTCGAGCTACATGGGTCAATTAGAGCAGGGAGATTTGATGGCTATGCTATCAACTTGAGCATATTGAGCCCTCTAATGGCTACTTTGAATGAGATGGCTGTTGACAAACCAAGCATGTTCATGAGTAGAAATAATCAAGAATAATCTTCAAACTTGTTCGATTACATGTCGCCTTCTTAAAGTCTATGTAACTCGAGAAATTAGGAGTACAAATAAACATAAATGAACCTTACTTGAACATTGAACTTTTTTTAAAGAATATTGATTCTTTTAAAATCTTAGTTATATGACATTGCAAGCAGGGAAGTCCGTATCCAACAAAATGACAATATGAACAGAGAACTACAAATGCTTGTGTGGAAACATTGCTGCTTAGATAATTAGAGTATGAAAGAATATAAAACTATGAGGTAAATAATAAATGAAAGATAGCAAACCTCAGTCATAGCCTTCTGCCCACAGAGAACTGCTGCAGTTGATGAAGCGTCTAAGATCTGCTTGGCTCTTGAAAAAACGGCCTGCATAATTTTTAGGATAATCAAATGAAAAAAATAGAAATATTCCTACTGCAGCCTCTATATCTCGCCATAAGATATTACCTGCACATAACCCTTTTCACCTTTCCAGCTATCATCCGGCCGGGACAAAACAGGAACAATTTTAACACCCAAAGACTCCCAATTCTTAAATCTATCCTGATGGAGAAGAATCCAATCCAAATTACTTTAAGGAAACAGACTTACAAGGGAAAATCCTTGATGTTTAAAGAGCTTCAGTCCAAACCTGATATGCCATTCTTTGAAGATTTCTAGCTCCATAATAAAGTCTCACATCCGGCCTTTCATTTGCACTAAAAGCTGACTCAATGAGGGAACGGATAGGGCTGCCACGAGAAATAAATAAAAGAAAATTACATAATTATATGCCATACATTTTGCATTTCTTTCACCAAGAAATGCATATCAGTAATTTAAAGTTCCAAAGCATTGATTTTATCAAAGCAAAAAAGAAAATAAATTTAAAACCTATAACTGCCTTTCCCATTTAACTAATCCTGCTACATTTCACAGCAGTTCCTATAGATGTGCTCTGCCCCCATCCCTTCCTATTGGAACTGAGGCCCCAGATCCTTCTGCCTCGAAGGAATCGCCCCAGCTAGGGCTGTCAAAAAAGCTCGTTGTTCGCGAACAGTTCGTGTTCGGTTCGTCAATGAGTTCGTGTTCGATTCGTTCAATAAGTAAACGAGACAAACACGAACAATTTTTTTTCGTTCGGTTAGTTAAACGAACCAAACATGAACACAAAAGCAGCCGCAGCCCTCTCTCTCTCATTTTATTTGCTGGTTCGCTGTTCTCGTGAGAAGAATCACACAGAAAAACCAGGTGAAGCCAGAGCTTTGGAGCGTTACAATGACTACTTGGTAACAAAGAAATAGATTGCTGAAAGAGGTTTTAGCCATCCTGGGGGCTTGATCGAGAAAATAATTGTTAAATGGCAGTGAAAGCAGTTATGTTATGATACCTCTAATTTTGTGATATCAATGGTTAGAGAATTCTACGCTAATCTTCCTGTGCTAATAATGGATCAGTGTTTATACAAGGAAAAGTCGGTAGAAATTTCACCCTCCGTATTAATGCACTATATTCTTTGAGAGAAATTCTTGATTGCTTTTACTCGAGCTGTACTCCTACAAATACATTATTAGATAAAATTATAGTCAACCAATGACAGAGGAGTATGAAATGTTAAAAATGGGATTAAACTTAACTTTCCTGCCATGCAGATGAGGGATATATGTCGTGCCTGGCATTATTTTATTTCTTCTAAGATGCTTCTTTCCAAAAAAAATGTGAGTAGAGTAACTACAAATCGAGCTTTACTAAATTTTTGTATACAAAAGATGAAGTCTATTAATGTTGGTTCTATAATTTACCATTCCATCATAAATAACACTCATGAAGGGACTACTACCAGTTTAGGACACCCTTCTACTATATTTGCGTTATATCTAGATGCTGGTATACCAACCAATAGCAAGGTGATTTAACTTTAATAAATCAACTGTGTGTGTTGCTTAGAATGTAAATTTAGGAATCATTCTTGAGCTTTAACATAAAATGAGAAGTAGTTTATGGGGCATTTACAGTTAAATCACCTTGCTGTTGGTAGTCGTATTAAAAGAAATATAAAGTGGTTTAAATGAAGAAACATATTGAGAGAAGCTTGAAGAGAAGCCTTACTAAAAATTGGTTTTACTTAAATTCTTTTTAAATTGAAAATTCTACTACATTCCTAAATTTATGTTTATGAAGTATTAGTAAATTATGTAAAGGAGAGTTTAATTCTATATATTTAATATCTAATGTGCACTATTTAACATTTACTAATTCCTTTTTGAAATAAATATGAAATCATATTTTATTTATTGAGTGTAATACATCATACGAAATATTTCCTTCTGAAAATACAGATCGACGTAAAATAATCACCTTGTTGTTCAACATGGCATGGCTCATATGGCTCATATGTGGCTTGGAGGAGACTTCATGGCTTGCATATGGCTTGGCTAGCTTTCATGAAGAGGGATTTTGAAATTTTTTTGGTATTTTATGTGGTATTGGTATAAATCCAAATGTGGGGGAATTTAATCATGTATGGCATGGTGTATGGTTTGGTCTGATTAAATGGATGATGAGGGAAATTTGTTATAAAGGAGTGGATCATCGAATGGTCGACCTTTAATATGGTCAAAACATGTAAGACGATTCTCTATAATCTTGTCTACTGCACCTTTCACGAATATATTCGTTTCACATTTTGTCTCTAAGCATAAAGCCACTCATCCTATGTATAATCAATTTGAATTGTTCAAATGAGAAGTTAAACAGTCCTCATTCATGAAGAATCAATTCGAATTCGAAGTGTGTTACTGTGTGAGTGATAGAGAGGAGGTTCGGGATAAGAAACATGTATTAGAATTCGTAATACGAAAGGATAAGTTTCCAGTCAAAAAGAGTAAATTGGAAAAGATAGTCAAATTCGAATCAGAGGTGGTGATTGACCAGAATATTGAAAATCCCAAGGTGATAAAAAGCTCACTAGTTGTCTCAGCTCCTAAGGCACTGTTGAGTGTGCCCACCACTTCTTAGTTAGTAACCATTGATGACATCAAAATAGGGTTGACAAGAACCCAAATGCAACATGCGATTAAGAAATTGCAACATGCGATTAAGGAAACAATCTGAAAAATAAGAAAGAGGAAGAAAACTAAAAATATATGTGGTTTAAATGAAGAAACATATTGAGGAGAAGCTTACTAAAAATTAGTTTTACTAAAATTCTTTTTAAATTGAAAACTCCACTACATTCAAAAATTTATGTTCATGAAGTATTAGTAAATTAAAGGAGAGCTTAATTCTATATATTTGATATCTAATGTGTACTATTTAGCATTTACTAATTCCTTTTTAAAATAAACATGAAATCAAATTTTATTTATTGAGTGCAAAGTTAAATCACTCGTAAATGTGATAAATAAGAAGTGATACGACATTCATGAACAATCAATTCGAATTGTTCAAATGAGAAGTCAAACATTTCTTCACCTTCCAATAAAGATTTGTACCTACCAACAACAAGGTGATTATTTTACTTCTAAGATGCTTCCTTCCAAAAAAAAAGTGAGACCGAGTCAAATCTCAGAGATTCAAATCTTACATGAGGATGTGAGGATAGAATTTACTAGGCATAAAGCTAAATACCAAACACAAACAAACAAGTTAAAAAAAACTCGAGTTTTTAAAGAGGTAATTTTTTTGGATCAAACTAAAGAAGTGAAGATTTCCTAGTTTTTAAAGAGGTGATTTTTTTGGATCAAACTAAAGAATTAAAGATTTCCTTTATGTTTATTTTGAAAGCTTAAGCCTAGGGTGGATGAGCCATTCAGAGTTGTCAAGAAGATTATGACAGTGCATACAAGATTAATATATTAAGGTACTACAAATGGAATACTTTTTGACACCGTCATTGTCGGTCCCAAACCCATATGTGAAAAGTGGATGGTTGTGTTAGGTAGTCAACAGCCAGCATAAAACTTGTCGAAAAAATCATGACATGAATCATTTTGATCATTGTGTTAGTGCTAAGGCGTCCTCTGGAAGCGACGCGTTGTATGACCTGAATACAGTGAAAAGTGTGCAAAGGACGCTACACCGACGCCCAGGTGTGGTGTCAAATAAGCAAGGGTTCCCACATTATGGACAAATGGGGGTAAAGAAGTTAGTCCATGAAACTAATGAAACTAATATTAGGAAATGGTCTTGGAATATGGTAAATTAATGAAATTAGTTAATATTATGATTCATAGAAAATTAGTATCAAAGCTAAGGAGATTGATAACGTAGGTTTTAAGTTTTGGTATTCTGATAAGAGTCGTACTAGAAATGGTGTAGGTGTAATTATATATAATAGTTTAAAAGATAATGTTGTAAAAATTAATAGAGTTGGAGATAGAATCATAGCCCTTAAGATTATTATTGATACTGAGATTTTTAATATTATAAGTGTTTATGCTCCTCAAGTAGGTTTAGAAATAGAGTCTAAAGATAAATTCTGGAATAACTTAGAAGACTTAATACAAATGATATCTCTTGAAGAAAGATTTTTTATTGGAGAAGATTTAAATGGACATGTCGGTACAGTGGTAGAAGATTTCAGAAATATTCATGGTGGCTATGGTTTTGAACTGACTAATGAAAAAGGTAGAGTCATTTTAAATTTTGCTTTAGAGTATGATTTTGTTATTACTAATACTTTATTCAAAAAAATAAATGAGCATCATATTACTTATTATAATGGATCTTATAAAACACAAATTGGTTATTTTTTTCTGAGAATAGGAGATCGTCGAGATTGTAAAGATTGTAAGGTCAATCCAAGTGAGAATTTAAGTACTCAACATTTCTAGATTTTAAGATAAAGAATTGTATATCATCCTAGAATTAGATGGGAAAACCTAAAAGACATTTTTTTAGTAAAAATTCAAGATTTCAAAATTTGTAATTTTCATGAAGAAGCAAAT